GTTCTGCTTTCTATATTTCTATTTGGATTTTCTACATAACAGCTTATAAGGATTTGCATACAGGATTGCACACATGTATCAAGACACTGGCATTGTATTTTTGATCCTTAAAATACTGATTTAAACTGTGTATTTTTTACTTAAATGGGAAACATAAACTTTCATACCAGATGAATTGAAACTACCATAGTACTTCGACATTACAAAGCCACAAACCTATTATACTAATTTTTACTGTAAACCCCCTCTATTTTACAACCATGCAACTTCTCACATTTTAGAACTATGTTAAACAGAGAAAAACATTTGAAGAGAGCCACGTGTTCTGCCAGTTCCTGCTCAGTTACTATTGGAATGCAGTTTCCTCATTGACTTAGCATTAGCTATTTTGAAAAATGAATTTCAGAATACAAAGAATTGCCAATTTAATATGAAAAACATAAACAGTTTTTCAGGGATTATGAATGGACTTCTGATGCTTAACGCTAGAAGTAGCAGGAACTAAACATGTTAGTGAACTAGAGAATTCTACTTAATGCAAGAAAAATAGTCCTTGATCAAACACATAAAAATACAGGACAGAGAACTTCAGTAACTTTTCTGCCTGTCCACAGGTTTTTATCCAGTTAATAGAGCATATTAGAAGTAACATTTTGCCATATAAATATAACATTAACTAGACAACAGTTGCTAGAAATACTCTGACAGCTAGCTCAGTAGAAGATACCAGCAGGGTCTCTAAATTCTAGGGGGTGGAAGCCAGAAAATTGATTTAGTTTGCTAATATGTGGATGTGACAAGCCAGTGCACAAAGATGACTATTTGCCATTAGCTACTGAATGGCATAGGGCACAGTCCTTATCTGATGTGTCCCCTCCTAGCACATGTGTAAAGCCTTACAACTATCAATTGGAAACTGCAAAAAACCAAAGAGAATGCTGCCCTTCTCTAATCCCCCAAATCAGTGAGGGATCAGGATCTTAATATCTGCAGTTAACTAAATGACTTCTAGAGAAGTAATGTTTGGTAAACAAATTGTGAATTCCAAAAATAAGGACTTGGGACTAAATCTTCTGAATCCTGCGTCAAATGTGTATTTGTTTCACAATACAAGAAATAAGGCTCTAATAGAACACAAAACCTTTCTTTGGCACCTTCAGGGACAGCACTTCATTAAAAAAAATAGACTATGTAGAAATTCTTCCATGGAAATGAATTATTGTTATGATGTGCCAAGATTTCTGTAATATATTTATAATGATGAATTCTAAAATCTGAACATCAAAACAGAAGAACTGGACAGATGTTTTTAGTGATACAGACAGGCTCAGAAACATGACCATCTACAGCAAATGAGTATTTTCCCCCCTCAAAAATAGGCTGATACCCATGCATCCAAAAAATTGTGGGGTTTTTTCATACTTACTGGTAAAACAATCCCCACAGCTGCTATGGTAACAAGTTTTTAAAACCAGAAACTATTAAGTTATATTCACGTAGATTTTTCTACCTAGCAAAAGGTGGAAAGTCACTTCAGGAATCTTGCAGCCAAGACATAGCACATGGCATCTCCCTTCACAACAATTTCTAAACAGCTTAAGAACAGAACCAGACTCCACCCCTCTTCCTGCACAATATGAAAGAATGCTGTTGACAGCTAGAATCATCTTTAAATATATTTAAATATTACACATGGATTATTTACCGATTACAATGCCCACTCTATAAGATCCCTGAAAGATTAAAAGGAAAAAAAACACAAAAAGAAAACCCCCAAATTACTACAGAGAAAAAAGAAAAATTGAAAAGCTCAAGGATATTTTATGTACATCAAACAAAGACCTCAGTGCTATATAAGCAATAAGCCATAGCTTGCACTCCTATTAGCTACAGAAGCTGTATTTTAACCTTTGAGGAATCTGACTTCTATAAAACATAGAAGGTATCCTAGAGAAGGGAGAGAAGCAGCAAAGGAAAAAAAAAAGAAAATTATCTCCCTGCAGTTGAGGAGAAAGTAGTATTTCATCTCAACTTGTGATACTGCCAGAAGTTCCTAAGTTTTGCACAGACAACAGAAAAAGTCAAAGTAGCAAGAAGTTTTCAATGGTATTGTAATGGTAATAAGTAAATTCTTGCCTTTTTCTTTAGCTAAAAACATACCAGAAAACCAAATTTACTGCTTACCATATGCAAGAAAAATATCAGCCTCATATGAGGATAAACAATTATTAAACTAGTGGTCTAAATTTTATTTTAAAAAGTTATTATTCCCAAGCACTAATATGACACATAAGTAAAACACCTTATAAAAGTAGAGAATACTGATTGCAAAAAAAAAAATTAAAAGTAGACAAACTCTTTTGGAATTGAAAAAAACGTACATAGACTTTAATCCACAGCACATAAAACTTGTCAGTATGTGGGAAAATGGCTTTTACTTTGTAACTAACGGATCTTTTAATTTCTGGATTACAGAAAGTTCAATGTTAAATTTTCCCTTTTATAAAAGTATGCTGGTTTTCAATCTATGTCAGTAACCAAAGTTTATACAATACTCTGTGTATCTGAAATCACCATTTTGTCCTGTAACAGTACTTTTATTAAGAAAGGAAATGCAGGATAAAATCATTGTTTCATGTGTTTTTACCTGTCCAAACTAGAAAATTTTCATTTTATGACTTTACAAAAAGGAGTATTATTTTAACTTAGGCATTTTCAGGCAAATGTTAGAAGTTAGGAAGAACATATCCTCCACGTGATAGGTATGCTAGCAAAGTAGATAGCTAAAAATCTGTTTTACAGAATCTGTAGAAGGTGGTATAAGAATGTTATCTTCCATTCTGTGTGATCTTTTCTAGGATGAAAATGGGGACTTCATGTCTATCGAGGTTTCAAACTCACAGACGAATGATGTGAAAAATTTCTTCTCAAAGAATGCGACCTCAATTCCTAAAGAGGGAAAAATGCTGTATTGTTTCTTCTTTTTCAAAGTGTGTCCCATTTACTACATTAATAATGCTTCACTGAAAATTTACAGTCCATTTTGACATTGCGTCAGCTAGACAGACTTAGTTCAAAAAGGAAAAACAGATTTCCATTATGTACATAGGTGAAGTCAATAGTGGCAAGAAACATCTTCCTTTATTTACAATTATGGAATCTTAACATGAGTTCAGAATTAATTTACCTTAAAAAAAAAATCAAGTTTTGTTCATTAATCATATAGCCTTAATAAAGTATGTCAAGCTATTAAAGCAACTGTATCCTCTTTTTAACTGGATAGGGAAAAATTATTTTTGTAATATGTTACAGTGCAAAACTACTTAACCAATTTTGTTTTTTTACTTTTGCATTCTCTGTAACGTAGTTTAGTGCAACGCATTACTGTGGGAATTTATAATAATGCTTATGTAATTTTTTTAGTAGCTAAAATTCAGATTTATAAAACTTGAGCTGAATAACTGATAGGTATCCTACTTGTAAACTAACAAATAGGCAATGGACTGTGATTAAGTAATTTGTCAGTGGATGCCACTAGCTGCTGACAAAAGCATGGCAAGATCCAGAAAACAGGGCTACCATTATAAGCACTGGCAAGAACAGTTTTTGGAATACTTGTACTATTCTGTTTTTTCTTCCTAAGATCAAATTCTCTTACAGTCTCCCTTTGTATCTCAGCTGCTCTGTATCCCATTTGTGGAACTCCCATCTGTTTTATTCTCTTAACCAACCTGAGTCCTTTCTTCCCATTCCTACTATGCCATATCACAGGCTCAAAGTATCTTTGTCTTCTAACCTTATCTTCTTAGGTGAGGTGTTTTCAGCACTAACTTTTTGTTTTGTTAAATTTACTCATCTTTTTACCCTCCCTTGTGGCTCTGCCAGTTGCCTAATACAACCAGCTGTAGCTCCTACATCCCTATCAGGATATTCAACCCAGTTTAATCTCAAGATTTCAGTTTCTTTCCATTATCTACTAGCTCCACATCACGTTGTGCACTGCTTTCCTAAATCTCTAGGTTCCATGGCCATCTAGTGCCAGTCTCCCTGCCCACTTCAGCTTTCATTACATCAACCTTACAGGACTTCAGTCCCAATCTATTTCTTACTCTTTCTTTAGTTTTGACTATTAGAATATGGAGGACACAAACACATTTTCTCTTCTCTACTGTCTGGTCTCAACAGAAAAACTATGCTCAGTTTCACACCGGCAAACTTCTAATAGTTTTTAACAGCCACACGTGGGGATAAAACGCACAGGCACATATACAGACAAGAAGTCACACCTTAACAAATAGCAAGCCCCTGCTACAAATCACTGGGCTGTTTAAAGGCTATCAAATAAGAAACGGACACAAATTTTAACATGTGCAAAACATGTATTCTTCCCTAGCTTCATTTTATTAAAATCCTTATTTTTTTAAAGAAGTGCAAGCAACTAAAAGCAGCACCTTTTTCACAATAAAAGCATGGTTAAGCACCTGCCAGAGTATAACTCCATGAATACAAACCACTAAATCACACAATATAGGGAGAAAAGGGGAGAGAGTTGTCAATAAAGGAATTAAGAGAGTTTTCAGAAACAAAAATCATACATTGAAGTACTGTAAGCTTCCCTCCCAGTTGAAGGAAAATAATCCAAACACACACAGAACTTGGGCAGTCGAACTAGAAATAAAATAATGATGGAATTAATATATACATTATTATCCCAGGACTTAATGACAAGGATTATATAAAATTTGTTTTACATAACAGAATTATTAGGAAATTTACAAACATGCAGGAAGCAGCTAAGCAATATTGCAGACTATGCTAAATTCTATCTGAGCATTTTTTATTATTGACTAATTTGTAAATAGCAAGCATTGCAATGAAACAACTGACCCCAAGTTTCACAACAGGCAGCTGCTAGCTGGTATGTTGATGATGGATCTCAGCCACACGGGAAGGCCTGGACAAGAAAATCAGTACAGGTAGACTAGAGCTGCGCAAATGGCTTAATAGTGAATGCTCCACAGTGTCTGTCAAGTAAAGAGAGAGAGAGAACATACAGATCAGAAAAAGTAAAAGAAAAAACCCACTAAACTGGAATGAGAACAAACTATTAAGACTAGAAAAAGAGGACATTGTAAAGAGAATATAGAATGAAACAATGCGAGAAAAAGCATGCCATCTGCAGCTTTCAGTGTTAATATAAAGTTAACAAATATGTTTTTGGTGGAGTTTAAAATACCCCTTTTACAGGCAACAGACCATGCTACAGCTGGTGACAAGGCTCTTGTTAATCATATATGACGACTATAAGTTTAGATTCATGTCTCTGAGACTAATGTAACTTTAAAGAAAAGGTTTATGCTCTCTCTCAATTTCACTGCATGTATAAATGAAAAAAATACTTACCTATACAGAAAGTATGTTGTAAGGTTTAATTTTTTTGTTCCAGATGGACTATCATACGATAGCACACAACAGTGGTGTAAAATTACTATACTTTTCCCAAAATGATTACACCAAGACTTCTCATAAAAACCACAATTTATGTATAAATATACATGCATATGTATGTATACAAACATGTATAAACACATGTATATTATACACACACACCACACAAATTTTACCCTATTACTCTCAACTACAGAGAAAAATGGAGTGCTCTAGGTTCAGTTAAATTTACAGAACATTCACTACCAAAAGGCCAAGGTGTTAGCATCATGCACCATTATGATCTGAACACATATATACATGAACCATATTACAAATGAATACCCCAAATTCTGTTTTGACATAGGAAGATCCTCTTCTGCCTTTTCAGAGGCAACATAATTACTGCCAATATACTGTAGACTGGAAATGCCCAAGCAAAAACATCTTTGATCTTTCTAAAAAGCATTTTCTTATAGTAGAGTAGAAAATTCAATTTTAAAGCTATCAAAAAAGAATGTGGGGAATAGAGAACAAAGTAATGACAAAAACCAAACGTGCAAACAAATCTGAAAATCAGGATACACTTCTATCATTGATAGGTTCTTGTTGGAGAACTCTGTAAACTGGGTGTTCAGGAAAAAAACCATAAAAATACTTACTACTTTTGTACTCTTCTATGCCTTTCCAGAACATTTTCTGAAGAAAAGGGTAAGCTTAAAAGAAGTACTATAGCTCAGCACTCCAATCCAGTGTATAGCACTTTTAGGTTCCAAGAATTGGATTAAGGAAGATTGTCAGGCTTTATCAGCTAAAACTAGTCTATTGTGGGGACAGGAGTGAAAAGTTTATATAGAGTAAAACTGATTTTTTTTTTTTTCCCTCCTGAAACTAAATGTCCAAGCTCAAATAAAAGGGAACAGCTCCTCCCCTCCCCCAAGGACCTAAAGAACCTGCTATAGGAAAAGACACTGTATGATCCCATACTGTTAATGCCGGCCAAAATATTCTGTTGGATACAGACGATGGGAACAGCAAAAACTCGGACAGACTAGAGCCATGCCTACCCCCGATAGGTATACTGCAGCTGGAAAAGATGACCGAGAAGAATAAAAAAACCCCAAAGCATGAAGCAAAACAACAAACCCTGCTCACCTACCCACCTCCGTGTGCCAGACCCTTTTACACCTTTGCTCAGTTTATATAGACTGCAACTGCGTTGCTCAGCATCCCAGGCCTCAGGGGAATCCCTCATACACAAACAATATAAAATAAACATTTACCAGGCCACTACCTCAAAATATTCGTCCAGCAAAACAAAAATTTAACTCGCAGGTATTTCTCCCAGGTCTGAAACCTGAGAACATAAATTTCAATCTTCCCTCAAGTTTCTGCTGTTACTGTAGACTACACAGACCTTACTACCAAACACAATATTAAGACATATCCTCTAGGAGCATCCAAGCATTAATCTATTAGAGGATGATTTAGGATTTGAAACACTGCACAAGATCCAGTAGAGATGAAAAAAACATTCATGCTTCCTAAAAAATAAGTGACACCTAGCAGCCTTTGAGAATGAATGTCAACCTTATCCATTTGTATAGATGTGAAGATGAAATGACTTCCACATACTCATGAACAAAACATGTTACAAACCCCAAAAGAAAACACCTTCAAGTAAATACAAAGGATCACTAGCAAACACTTGATCAAGGGGAGGGGATTAGTATTTTTGATTGAAACCTGATCTTAAATACCAAATTTGGATCTAAAAAAATAAGTTATAGTTGGAAGTTGGGGAAAGTTTTCTTCTAGTTTTCATTTAAGACTACTACAGATTTTGTACTGGAAGTTACATCAACAAAATCCTATTTAAGTGGTAGGATACAATGAAAAATAAATTAGAGAATTGCCAGAACCAAAGCTGCCTTTGTTAACTGCTACATGGTTTACATGATTAACAAACTGAGCTCTCTTTATACGTCCACAACATTAATGGAAACACTGGCTTAGAGATTTGTGATTTTCTTCAGTAAAGATTTCATCCATTTTGTTTGCTCACCCTTGTGACTTAATTAAAATATGACTGCAATGCATGCTCCACTTTGAGCTGTATTTAAAAGCTGTAAGAAGTCTACAACTGCCAAAAATATCTGGATATTGGCTGTACCCATCCGACTCTCACCGTAGGACTTACAGCTCCTAGTATAAAGCAGGTGTTTATTCCTAATGCAATTCCTAATGCTGTGGAGGCAATTAGCAGATTACCTTCAAGGTAAGGTCATTCATTACTTTAGGCATCTGCTCTCTCTTACATGGCCACTACTTGGCAATTTTCAAGCAGCAGATGCATTTGTTGGGATATTTTAACAAGACTACAGCCAGCAGGCACTATTTTTATGCAGCTGGGGAGCAGGTGGTAATGACACAACCACTTGCTTAATACATAGCAGTCTGCTGTCAACATTTGCTCTTTTTTTCAATTGTTGAGTGCTCAGCCACAGTGATAGACACAATACAAGCTGATCATATTCATTATACATTAAATATATTCAAAACTTTAAGTGGGTATGTGAAAAGGTAAGGTGAAATGTGAAAAGGAAGAATTATATTCCAGAACTACTAATTACTACTAAACGAAGCTAACTAAAGAAATAAAAATTAAAACCTGTCAAAAACTCTTTACCATCAGCTTATAATGAATAAAATTATTGGAATTCAGCAAGTCTTTGTAAGAGTTTAACTGTATATATGAATCTACTTCAGACCCGAACAGAGCAGAGTTTCAATTATGGGTAACAAGACTTCTGAGAAAACAGGTAAGAATGAGCAAGAAATACAGTGAAGGAATGGACAGGATTAGCAATTTCATGCTCAGTTTCATCAAGTTTAAATCTGCACTGGTAACAAAGTCTTACTTCTTCTACCTTATCCCAAACTTTTTATAGGTACAAGAGTTTGTGCAGTTGCTTGACAAACCGGTCTGAGGAACTGATGCAAGTTTAAGTTAGCTCTTTTTGGGTGGTGGGAGTGGGGCTTCATCTTCAACTACATCCATTCCCTGACCTGGTTTAACCACATTGCCTCACAAAAACATCTACCAGCACAGGAAATGGGTGGTGTGGAAAATGGAATGAATTGCTGGGTTATGCCAGCTTTGGCTGTGTGCGAGATCACTTCTAAAGCTATGAATAAACATAGAAAATACTGTATCATGAGAGTCTGAATTTGCAGCTCATTTCCTGTGCCACAGTAACCAAACGTGGTTTTACCATGCATGCACACATTCTACTATAAATTAACACATTATCACTTATCACAGAGTAAACTACTTTGCTATAAAGTGAAGCATGGTACTATGGCAATTACTGTAGAAGAGGAAGAGCTATCATGCTCTAGATCTACCTTGTAACTTACTTCACACTATCTTGTTCGTATAGCCTTGACCCTAGGAAAGACAATAGAAGTCAAGTTTCAAGGTAAAAAGCTTGTTTCTCTATTTGATACAGTAAGTATGCACTGGTTTTTGATTCTGAGACTACTATTGCCATTTTTTTAAAAAGTGTTTTCATACACTGTTAGAAAATGGAATATAAACTGGATATTATGATCACTGTGTTACACCAACTCCCTTTTAAGTATTTCTTAAAAATATGAATCACTCAAGATTAGTATTCTCAAATTCATGTTTAGCTTCTGATTTTTTTATTGGAGTACTTGCATTTTATTCCAAGACAACACTTAATGTTACAGCCCCCTCTACTGGAAATATTTAGTAGATATTATTACACAATAGTCTGGAAAAAAGATTCTTCTCTTAAAAGAAATGTAAAATAAATGAAAAAAATACATATAAAAGCCTATAACATGGCTTTGATTCATTCCTATTTAGTCTGTTATTTGTAGTTGAGTAAGCATCTTTCACAGAAGAGCAAGTGCTGTAATATCAAGTAAAACTACTGATACCTTTAGTCCTTTGCTATCAGGCAAATCTAGTTCAGACGTTATTTCATATGTTGTATTAATAACCTTACTAATTTAGGCAAAAGGACCTTAAACTGGGACCCAAAAAACCCCAACAACTTGCATCAGGTGACATGGAAGAATCACATTTTAGAACAGCCATTCAAAATCAGGACTGCACAGAAAAACACCCACAGGTGGCCAACCGGGACAGCTTTTCATCCTCTGTGTTCCAAAACCCCACCTCTCCACAACATGAGGTGCTTATCTAAGGCTGCAAGTAATGAATTCAATTTCTCAAGATCCAGAGACATGCAGACAAGGATTTGTAACCATCATTTCAAAGAACTGAATGAGGTTCACAGATTTCTCTCAAAATACATTTTTTTATTTGCAGTTTTCTTTATATCTCAAGTTTTAAAATAACTAGTCATGGGTTTTTTTGTTTCCCCAAATAGTTCCAAAATAAGTAATACCTACGTCCTCTGTAACAAAGCCTCAACAAAAAAAATATCAGTTTGTCGGAAACATTTCCATTTTCCTTTATTTATTAATTCATTAATAAAAGACTTTCATCCCTGCCCCTCTTGTCTTACTGTCTCCCTGGAAAAAACAGGACACTAATACTACCATGCTTGCTTTAACTATCTTAGTTTGACACTCACAGGTCCAGGTATGGCTATGGCACTCTGGGCATAAGGCTGGTGATGTGGTGCTTGAACTCCATGATCAGAATACAGCTGGTATTAAAAAAAAAAAAAAAAAAGGCAGAAAAACCTGTTACACAATTTTGCGTTTTTGCAAACCTTTCACATGAATTTAGATTCCCTAAAATTCAAATTGTGGGCTCTGTTTATCTAAACTACTGACTTTTTACAAACCGAAATTTCAATATTTAAATCTGTTTTCCCCACTGTATCGAAGTTTGGTGAATATAGTTTATCTCAATCAGTATCAAAACGCACTTTCCTTGACAGAAGTAGCATGCTTATCTACTGCAAATCCATTTCACTCAGCTCTAACTGGAGCAGTGTTTAAATGTGTAGATCAGCAGGTTGAAATGTGATTCTCAGCATTATCACCATTAAAAAGTATTTACATACAAATAATACACAGGCTTTTCTTTTGATTTTACACCATCTTCTGAATTTCCACATACGGCTTCCTTTAACATCAACAAATTATGTACCTGTGAACTGAGACCATGTTACATCCAAATATTCCTTAACTAGTTTCAGTATTTTTCTTAGTGCTCACAGATTTCAAATTTTTCTCTGTAACTTGATATCTGATTTATGAAATACAAGAGGTAAAACAGTAACATTGATAATAAGATTTATGATTATACAATATATACCAAGATTTATGCAGTTTAGAAAAGAGAAGAAAAACCCCAACAACCAAAGTCTTGTATTATTCAATACCTTTGTAAGGAAATTATATTACTTGGGTATCTCAGGATTTCCTGCTTAAGATATCTGAAATACCAGTTTTGGAACTTCTCTTGTAATAATACAATACTCTTCAACTTTTGTAAAAATACTTGATTACTGTCCTAATTTACCATTTACATTGGCATCCCTGTTAAAGAGGAATGAATTATCAAACAGGAAAAGTACCAATTAATTGTAATATATTTTCAATTTTATAGTAAGTTTTTCTGTAGTGAATTATTTACTGTCATTTTTAATATCCAATTATAAAGAAATGGCCTTATTGTACATTAAGAATCTCTTAAGAAACATTAGAAATGCTATTGATATAGAAGCAAAAAAACCTGTAAACAAAGAAAAAAGTTATTTTGTCATTCAACTACTCTTAACTCATTCTGATCTTCAGAATATTTAGAAACGAGCTTCTACTTAGAGAAGAATTATTACTTCAGGAAGCTGTTATGGCTTAGGTAGACTAATCCAGCATTCTGAAGAGTCTGACTAATTTTATTTAAAAAAAAACCCAGACACCAAATTGACTAGTCTTTATAGTGCTGTCATACACTTGTGACTCAAATATTTCAGAACCAAAGCATCCTCCTAGAAAACTGGAAGAGATACTCTAACTTGAGGACAACAGAAATGACTTAGCAGCATCATGGGTGTGGGGGTAAGTATAGGGCATAGTTGATGTAGGTGCTCTGAATTGCCTGTACTTAAACTAAAAGATTATGTTTTTCTATTAAAGATAAATGCTTCAATTGTAAGTAAAGTTTTTTACAAAAGTACCTCAGGAACTGCAGCTTCCACTAGGAGAGGCGGAGGTATACATCCACTTTCCTGGGTAATCCCTATTGGCTGATAAATGACTTCAGATGGCTGCAGATACAAGAATGACGGTGAAGAGGCAGGAGACTGAAATAAAACACATTGTTTTCATAAGTTATATAACTTAGGCATTATAAATACCAAAGTTTATTTTACAGTCTTCTTTGCTACATATAAACGAAGATAAAGCTTTAAAAGAAAGTGTCAAATTAATCTTTGATAACTTCAGGAAACTAAGTGAGGGGGAAGTGGGTAGAAATGTCAGAGAGCAGGACAAAACAAAAGCAAAGATGTCCTTTAATCACTTTCATATATTTTTCAGGTATTATTTACATTTTGGAGAGCATTGTTAGAGAAACCCTAAAATTTATAAAATTAACACTTACTCTCAAGATCACAGAAACATAATACAGTTTAATTTTCTCTTGAAAAAAATGTTACATTAAAAAAACCCAAGTATTTTTGTTTTAAAATTAAACCCACAGTATTTCTGTAAATCAGCATCCAGATTTCAAAGCAACAGACAGACATCTATTAAGAGTAGAACTGACCATAATTGGACAAGTCTGGCTGCTACTAAAGTAATGAGGATGCATTCTAACAGTTCAAGCTTAAGGGACTTAGTCCTCCTTTCGGCTTCAAACTCCTCAAGTTCTTTGAGTAGCAACATTTCCATATTAAGCTCCTTTGCTACAGAGATCACAAAACCAGTGAAGTCTCCCCGCTAAAATTACCAAGTTAACAATTTCAAGTTCTTCCTCCTATTTCAAGGGTCTGGGTCTAATTTCATCATACTTGTGTGTCTTGTTGAAGATTAACCTAAAAATGTGAAATGATCTGTTTCTTTCTATGCAAGATGTTCTTTGTATGGGTATTAAGCTGATAGTCTACAGACACTTAATTATTTGTGATCAGAAAAGCAAACAGCTAGCGTTCTTTAACCAAGGACATCCTGGAGTAATTTGGGCCTTGAGGAACCTCAAAGAAGAATTCAAAGACCAATAAGAAGGAAACATCCCACCCTAGAAGGCGCCAAAAGTTGAGTCACTGATAACAGGCATGAAGTCAGTGGATGTCTGCGGTAACTGGGGGTAAAGGCGGCTAGGGGAGATCGTGACCACTGACTCCATTCAAGACCTAAAAGACTTACCCCCACTCCTTGAGCATGTGCTGTAGAATAAAAGAACACTGTACCTTTAATTCAAAGATGAGAAAACCTTAGCCCAATAGAAATAGTGGCAGCTAAACAAGTACCAATAATGATTTTGGGAAACGACTTTGGAAACTAAGTGGGTGAATCTGAAACTGTATAAATTGCTTGCTTGTTTAACTGTAGGGTGTGCTAGCTTTGTGGAATTACCACCTAGCGCCCACCTTTGCGCAAACATGAAATAAATAATGTCTCTCCTGAGTGTGTGATTATTGGCTCGTTGCACACTGTGTGACGAATCCGCTTTTCGGACAACAGGTTTTGGCAACCCAGATGGGACAGCCGTAAAGCCCTGCTGGGATCGACTTGCCAGCTACCGGCAGGGAGAAGCTGCTCTTCAAACTCCAGCACGCACCGACCTTTTGTTTTGGGGACTCCGTGAGTACTCTCCCTGTCCGGAGCAGGTAAGCAGCACAAAGGTGCAACATGCATATTAGAGACGTTGCAAGGGGGGTACTTTATATGGTAAAGGTATATAGAGATATTTTATAAAAAACTTGTACATGCTTGACAGTGACGACTAGAGTGCATGAAAGCATGGTTAAGAATGTTCTTTTGGGCTAAGAGTATGGAAGCAGGACAGTCTGCAGAGCCTCCCTTTTGCTCTCCTATAGGATGCATCCTAAAATATTGGAACAAGTTTGGTGGGGATCCCCTAACAAGGAAGAAATTAAAAGAGTACTGCACTCAATGGTGGCTGGTGTATAAATCAGATGATGAAGAAAAATGGCTGGAAATGGGAACTTTGAATTACAGTATTATTTTGCAGCTAATGCTGTTTTGTAGAAGGCAAGATAAGTGGGATGAAATCCCATATGCAGATATGTTCTTTGCTTTAAGAAATTGTTATGAAATGAGAGAGATGCAAATTATAAGTATCTGATAAGGAAGTTACAAAAGGTAGATGGTATGTCAGGGATGACAACTCAACTGATTGAGATTTCTTATAAGGTGTATAATAACACAGAATAGTTAGAAAAGAAAGAAAAACAAAAGAAGAAACTAAAAGATGAGAAGCAAAAGGCTGCTATTTTAGCAGCTGCGTTTAGTCAAGTGCAAACATCCTCCAGGGGAAGGGGTTTCACGAGAGGATGGGAGCTTGGAAAGGGATGGGGAGAAGGGGTAAACATTGAGAACAGAACCCCTTTGGGGCTCGACCAATGTGCCATTTGCAAAGAAAGGGGACACTGGAAAAATGAATGTCTGAAAAAAAGACCAACTTGGTCTCCCCTTTGTGCCCCTATCCCTGAGGCTGATTTACTAGTGATCAGTACAGAGGATTCTGATTGACAGGGACCAGGCTGGGCTTCCCCAGCCAAGCCCCTGGTTCCAGTCAAGCTGGGGAATGAAATTGTTACATTTTTGGTAGATACAGGGGCAACTTATTCTGTGTTAAATAGCTGTAAGGGACCTATAAGTAAGTTCTCTATGGCAGTGGCTGGTGCCATGGGAAAGCAAGAGGTTAGGCCCTTTCCCAACCTATGATGTGTGAAATTGGAAAGAAAACATTGATGCATGAATTTTTGTATATGCCAGAATATCCATTACCTGTTATGGGATGGGATTTACTAACTAAATTGGGAGCACAGATAACTTTTGAAGAAAAATTCAAGTGCATGCTCCTCAGAGTAATGCCTGGGGAGCACAAGTTTAGACATTACAAGAGTCAGTGGAAATCAAGGACATGAAGAATGAACAAGTTGAAATCCCCTCTGAAATTATGGATGTGGTGGTCCCCTTTGTGGGGGCAACAGAGGCCTGGAAGAACTAGATCAGCCAAACTGGTTAAAGTGGAATTAAAACAGGGGGTGAAGCTGTGCTGGACCTAAAAGATGCCTTTTTCTGTATTCCTCTGGAAGAATGGAGGCAAAAACTGTTCACCCTCAAGCAGGAGAGACCTACAACAGGACACAAGATGCAGCTATGTTGGACAGTACTTCCCCAAGGATTTAAGAATAGCCCCACCATCTTTGGTAATGTACTAGCAAAGGAATTGAACAATGGCAAGGCAAGAACTTGTTAATTACCTTGCTACAATACGTGGATGACATCCTGTTGGGGGCAAATACCACTGAGGAGTTTAGAGAAGCAACCATTAGTTTATTGAACTTTTTAGGGCTAGCTGGCTATTGAATGTCTCAGAAAAACACGCAGATTGCACAGAAAAATGTGACCTATCTTCGTTTTGAAATTTCTCAAGGAGAAAGAAAACTGGGGATCGAGAGGAGGGAAGCGATTTGTCATGACTGCCCCACCCAAATAAAAAGAGTTAAGAGGATTTCTTGGAATGGCCAGGTGGTGTCGCCTTTGGATACCCGATTTTGGATTGATGGCTAAACCTTTGTATGAGGCTATTAGGGGACCAGAAGTGTTGGAATGGACTCTGGAATGTTGAGAAGGGTTGAAGAATATAAAGGTTGCTCTTATGAGGGCCCCTGCACTAGGCCACCCCCATTTGACAAAGCCTTTTGAGCTTTATGTGATTGAGGACATCAAGCAATGGGAGTGCTTGTACAAACCTTAGGGGACTGGAAAAGACCAGTAGCTTACTTTTCCGAACAACTGGATAATGTAAGCTCTAGATGGCCAGGATGCTTAAGGGCAGTAGCTGCAGCAGTGATGTTAATACAGGAGGCACAAAAGATAAGAATGGGACAAAGAATCAATGTTTACGTGTCACATGCAGTTATAACTGTTTTGGAACAAAAAGTACATCACTGGCTGTCTCCGAGCAAGATGGTACAGCACCAAGCAACCTTGCTTGAACAAGAGGATGTGGCAATGAAAGTATCTAATACTTTAAATCCAGCATCATTGTTGCCCTCTTGATAAGAAGGATTAACACATGATTGTTTACAGACCATTGAGCAAGTATATTCTAGCCATCCAGATTTTAAGGACTCCCCCCTCTACAACATCTTGATTAGGAGCTATTCACTGATGGAAGTAGCTTTGTAAATAAAGGGGAACAGAAGGCTGGGTATGCTGTTGTGACTTTGGAGAAAGAAACAGAAGTGGAACCATTGCCTGTAAATATATCTGCCCAGAAAGCTAAACTGATTGCTTTAACTTAAACTTTGGAATTATCAGAAGGAAAATGAGCTAATGTATATACTGATTCAAAATACCCCTTTGGTGTGATACATGCTCATGGTACAATTTGGAAAGAAAGAGGACTGTTATCCTCACAAGGGAACTGATGTACTTAAGAAATGATGTACTTAAGAAATGACATACTTAAGAAATTATGTACTTAAGCCACCTTAAGACCACCACAAAGGTCTTGTGAAACAAGATACCCTTTGTATAAACAAGGCAGGCCTCGCTAATGACTGTGCCCTGAAGAACTGAAAGACTGATAAGAAGGGAACATCCTACCCCAGGAGGCACCAAAAAGTTGAATAATTGCTAATAGGCATGAAGTCTGCAAAAACCTTTGATAACTGGAGGAAAGTTAAGGGCGGCAGGGGGAGATCACAACCACCAACTCAAGACCAAAAAGACTAGCCCCCCCCCCCCCTTGTTGAGCATGCGATGTAGAATAAAAGAACACTCTACCTTTAATTTGAAGCAGGGAAACCTTAGCCCAACAGAAATTGTGGTGGATAAGTGACTACCAGTAGTAGTTTTGGGGAATAACTTTGGAAATTCAATACATATAACTGAACTGTATAAATTGCTTGCCCGTTGAGGTATGGTGTGTACTACCTTTGTGGATTACCACCTAGCCCCCATCTCTGCACAAACATGAACTGGAATAAATACCTCTGCTCTGTGTGTATATTGGCGTTTCGCACACCAGGTAAACGACCCCACTTTTGGGACAACAAAACCCCATAAAATATGGCAAAGAAATTAGGGAAGTACTTGATGCAGTTAACAAGCCTAAAGAAATAGCAGTTTCACATTGCAAAGCCCATCAGTCTGGATGTACTAATGTAATTAAAGGAAATAAAAAGCCGATGAGGCTGCAAAGAGGGCAGCTTTATCAATAAACGTAGCAGAATTAATCCCAGAAAGAGTTGTGAAAATTGAAGTACCTGTATACACCAAAAAGGAAAAGAGACTTGCAGCATTACTGAAATGTAAGACGACTCTGGAAGGATGGTGGGTAACCTTGATGGGTCAGTGTAGAGTGACTTTGCCTATAATGAAGGAGCTAATAGAAAGGACGCATAAAAGTACACACGTGGGAGTTGAAGCTTTGCTTGAGGCAACGAGACCATATGCTGTGGGAATTAATATGTTGTTAATAGATAAAGGGATTGTACAGAAATGTGAAGTTTGTTTAAAGAATAATCCTAAATTCAGAAAAGGCCCCCCTAGGAGAGGTAAGCAAAGGTTTTACACCTGGAGATAACTGGAAAAAATCAAATTTTCTGAGCTACCTAGTTGTAGGGGATCTAGAAATCTACTGGTGATCGTGGATACTTTTTCAGGATGGCCCAAAGCTTTCCCGTGTCACATCAACAAGGCAAGAGAACTGGTAAAAGTTTTACTTAAAGAAATCATTCCGAAATTTGGGCTACCAAAAGGGTTCTCCTCAGACCGAGGACTGCAATTTGTAGCAGAGATAGTCCAAGGGATATCCAAATTTTTACAAATCAAATGGGACTTGCATACCCCATGGAGGCTGCAAGCAAGTGGGAAGGTAGAAAGGATGAATCAAACAATGAAGATACAAATTAGTAAATTGTATCAGAAAACACACATGAAATGGATTGAAATTTTACCATTAGCATTATTAAGAGTTAGAGTTACTCCAAGGGTCAGAGAAGGGCTTAGCCCTTTTGAGATCTTATATGGAAAACCATATGTAACAAATTTAACTAGAAAAGGAAATTAAATGTGCCTAAAAGGTGTCCAGATACTTAGTGATCACCTCTTGTCCTTGGCAAGAGTTCTTTCTTCCCTGTACAGGTATATCCAAATAAGAACCCCTGTACCTTTGGATTCACCTCTGTATTCATTTAAACCAGGAGATCAAGTATATTTGCAAACTTGGAGAGAAGAGCCACTAGCAGAAAAACAGAAAGGACCTTATTTGGTGTGGCTGACAACTAATACCATCGTGAAGCTGCAGGGAATTGACTCATGGATTCACTATACGCAAGTGAAAGCAGCACCTCCTACAATGTGAAAAGTTGAGGAAACTGGACCTTTGAAGCTGAAAATACAGAGATATATGAACTGTACTTGGATTAACATAAAGCCCATCCTGCATTTAGAGTGTACACAAGGGGAAGTGTTTTTAATATTGTCTTACAGGAATTATTTTAATATTTTTTGTTCTATTTGTACAAGTTTACTCAATCTTAATAGTTGTAGTAGTGATATTTGTCTGTATCTATGTAATCATATAATGTATTTTTACAGGTATTTCTAAATTGTTACATTTAGAATGAAACTTATATGAAGAATATTCATACAAGTCTCAAGGGGGGGATTGTTGAAGATTAACCTAAAAATGTGAAATGATCTGTTTCTTTCTATGCAAGATGTTCTTTGTATGGGTATTAAGCTGATAGTCTACAGACAATTATTTGTGATCAGAAAAGCAAACAGCTAGCATTCTTTAACCAAGGACGTCCTGGAGTAATCTGGGCCTTGAGGAACCTCAAAGAAGAATTCAAAGACCAATAAGAAGGAAACATCCCACCCTAGAAGGCGCCAAAAGTTGAGTCACTGATAACAGGCATGAAGTCAGTGGATGTCTGCGGTAACTGGGGGTAAAGGCGGCTAGGGGAGATCGTGACCACTGACTCCATTCAAGACCTAAAAGACTTACCCCCACTCCTTGAGCATGTGCTGTAGAATAAAAGAACACTGTACCTTTAATTCAAAGATGAGAAAACCTTAGCCCAATAGAAATAGTGGCAGCTAAACAAGTACCAATAATGATTTTGGGAAACGACTTTGGAAACTAAGTGGGTGAATCTGAAACTGTATAAATTGCTTGCTTGTTTAACTGTAGGGTGTGCTAGCTTTGTGGAATTACCACCTAGCGCCCACCTTTGCGCAAACATGAAATAAATAATGTCTCTGAGTGTGTGATTATTGGCTCGTTGCACACTGTGTGACGAATCCGCTTTTCGGACAATGCTTCTGCTAGCAATACTCCAGTGAAACATCACAGTATCAGTTAATAAGCTAGTTAATACTCATTTCTCCTATCAGGCAAAACATGGCACTTTTTACCTGCTTCTGAGAACATATTAGATAATTTACTACCAACTTTTTGCCAGAGGGAGAAGGGTGGGAAGGATGCTTTCTTTACATAAGATTTGGATTTCATGTTTCAATAAATGCTATTTCATGCCTTCTATTGTATCAGCAAGCATTGCAAATGCATTGCTAAAATATAGCAATCGGTATTTATTTCAACAGTGTTGTGAATAGCGGGAAACGTTACTGTTAGAAAAGCGCACCATACCTTTAAACTAGATGCAAACTAACAGTAAAATCCTTTACCTGTGGAACAGACCACTGCCACTGACTTGGAAGACACTGTGTTGGTGCCTAAATTCAAAGAAAAAAGGTATTACTTATGTGATTAAGAATATACACATACTAGAATTCCCAACATATAGAATCAAACGCATCTCCAATCTATAATCAATTCTTAATTAAAAGAAGAAATATTGTCATTAAACCCTCAAATAATTCAGGAACATATTTTTCTCTACTTCCACTCAGCCTCTGACTTGGGCATTTCATAAGCTTCTAAAATACTAAAGCATGTAAGAAGCATGCCTAATTAGGAAAACAGAAGATACAATATGCATAATACTGTATAAATATAATGTGTAAGTGTATAATATGTATAAAATTGTTCAATATGCATAGATTCCAATATGCATTAAAAACATGGACATACTGCATAAATCCTGTAGTGGGCCACCAAGGTGGTTAGTGGACTGGAGAACAGACATATCAGAATGCTGGGAGAATTGGGTTTGTTCAGCCTTGAGAAGGATAAAGGCGGGAGGGGATAATTATTGCTGGCTACAACTACCTAATGGGGGGGGGGGCATAAATATGACTGAGCCAGATTCTCATAAGAGGTCTTCAGAGCACAAGAGTCAACTGACACAGGCTGGAACACCACTGAAAATTTTAACTAGTTAAAAGGAAAAAAAAGTCTTTTACCATGAGAAGGGTCAAGTATTGGAATAGGCTGTCCAGAAAGGTTGTGGAATCCCCGTGAACTGCAGATATTTAAAATTCAACTGCACAAGTTCCCAACAAACCTGATCTAACCAGCCCTGCTTTGAGCAGTAGTTTGGCTTAGATGATAAAAGTTAAGGATGGTACTAAGCCAGTTGTCTAGCAACACCAAAGAAAATTTTAATTTATTACATAGGAAGAATAAATTGTATTCTAGTGAAAAGAAAGTGTTCAATGAAATTAAAATCTGTTTTACATTACTATTTTGAAAAGTCCTTTTATCTCCTAAACAGATCCAAGACAGTGCTGCAAATAAAACTGCATAGCTGGAAGGAATGCTGATGGTCTGAAACCCATTTTCAAACAGATACCTGATAATGGTATGTAGGAGACTGATAAACTGGTTGAGCTACCATCATAGGTGAACCGGAAACGGAGCGCGGCTTAAAAAGAAAAAAATTACAAGTCTTAATGCAGCAATTTCATAAATTGTCACTCCCATTAAGAACAGTTCTGGAATACTGTAATGCTGAACCACCTCCCATGCCCTCTGAAAATGGATTTACCAAGTTTTAACTTACACTTAGATTCTTCAAAACCACTGTTTCTAAGGGCCTACATTAGAGATGAAACAAAAATCTTTGGCATATTTACTTAGTTCTTTCCAGAAAGCAGTAGGCCATCACAGATTATCTGGATATGCTAAGGCCATCTACTACCCTGACCATAGGTACATTTTTGTAAACACTTAGGGCAATCTAAGTTGTCACTGACATATTCCTACACTCTCCATGCCCCCAACCCAATCCTCCCTTTTCCATTCCCCATCTCACACCAACCCAAGCATTCATCCGATTTGACAGTGAGCCAATTTAGGGAACTAAACCAGCTAGAAACCTGCCCGGCTTTTGTGGGGGCCCAGTTTAGGGTCAGAGAAACACCAGTGAAAGAAAGGGGGGCAGAAATATATGGCCATGATAGAGGTCAACATCGCACTGTGAAACTCTAGTTCTGATCAGTTAAAGCTAGCATGTGTAACTCCCATGTCATTAAATTCCTTCATTCCTGCAAGTATTTAGGAAGGAACAGCTCCAAAACTACTTTAACTCATTCTACACTATATGAAAATGCAGAATGCAAAATGGAAAAGACCCAATGAGAACTGTTATACATGCACAATACACACTAAAAAGTATTAATATCTTTAATTTGATTAATGTTTTCTGTAACATCAAATTTGCAGGTTTTTTTCTTCAACTTCTTTATATAGGTACTTTCCTAACAATGAAAACTACAAATATGTAAATAACTGAAGCCAAAAGAGGCAGCGCTATTTGTAATTGGAAATATTGAGCGCTATTTGTTTGAAACACAGTGGATCTGAGCCAGGGCACCGGAACCAAAGTTCAGTACTAGAACACGAAAAAAACCCTGTTTTTTCCAACAGATAGGATTTGAGCAAGTTATCTAGATCTGTATAACATGAACTTCAAAAAGCCTTTCTAAAATATGTGAATAGGTGCTTATGCTTATCCTCTAAAGTTGATAAGGCACTATAAGGCACTATATCATGCCTTTGTTAGAGGAGCAAGCATCTCAGAAGTGATAAAAACAGAGGTTAAATACTGAGGGAAAGATTCTACAGTGCCAAAATGAACAACATAAAAGAAGCTCTTACTGCCCTCATCTCTGTTTTGGGAAAGTTGTTTTTTATTTATTAGTAATTATTCTATTGAGCTTTTCCCCCCAATATGTGAAGGGATTTTCCACTCATATGTAGAGATGGTATGTACAGCCTCGGTGAATGCTGCTTTTACAGAAATTAGTAAGGATGCATCCCCTATGTAGGTCCTGTGCCTTATGCAGACCCCATCAGTCTTGCAATCCTTCCTTCTTGTAGAAAAAACTGAAGCAATTGACAATGCCTTCCTGTATTTCCCAAGAAATTCTGTCCAATTTCCCCAAGCCAACCAATTAGCCTATTGAATTATCTTCCTCCTAAAACAAGCAGTATTCTTGAAAAAAGAGTATGTATCTATACAGACTATAAAATTACCCAGTTTCACTTTTGCTTTGTTGATCTAGTATTATGTTCTCTTTTTATACCCAGCATAATAGTTTGCAGCTAAAAACACTTCACTTGTGGAGGAATAATCAGGGTCATAAGCACCACCAACTCCTCAGTAAAACAAAACTTCTCCTGGGGTAGCGCCCACACTGATTCTGAACTACCCTGCTCAATAGGCCACATCAAAGCAAAAGTCCCCTGCAGAAGAACAATGAACTTAAGTAGTATTTAAAAAACACAAAATAAACAGACTAATATAAGCCATTAAACATCAAACATGAGGCACCGCCAAAGAAACTGGAAGGAGGAGGGACTTGGAAACACTGCACTCATCCTGGTCCACAGAAAAGCATATATACAGAAATAAATTACTTACTGGCCACGGCTGTGGAACAGAAGCAACTTCAGATGTATGAAAATAAGCCACTCCATTATGGTAAATATAAGGATATCCACTTGAAGTAGTTAAGTACATTGTACCAACTTCTGGTATTACAGTAGAACCTGGAATTAATATTTTAAAGTTTACTTACCAGTAAATTTTATTTTTTTAGATGTGTAGGTCATAAAAAAGAAGAAAAGATCATTTCTGATCTTCAGACAAGCAAAACACTCAAAGCAAAGAGCAGAGCAGTGTGCCTACTGCCATCTCAATTCCCTCTCAAACACAAAATCATGAAAGCAGATGGTCAAAGGATGCCTCCAGAAGTAGATGGGAAGGGGTGCAGAAGATGACGTGTATAAATTACAAAACACCAACAACTTCAGTTACCAGAAAATACATATACTTTTTAATCTTCAAATGTCCGAAGGTAACACATTGTAGGAGATTTTCACTGGTAACCTCCACATATTCATATTTAGCTGAAACAGGATCCAAGCACTAAAAACAACAGAATGATTTCATTACAAGGTGCAGCCTAGTTTCTCAACACACAGACTGTGTTTCTATGATGGCCTACAGTCTGGCAAAAGTAAAAACTGGTATCTAGATGTCAGCAACAGGGATACTTCTCAGCAATGCTGCTGCTACAGCAGAGGCTGTAAGCCAGCATGGTCTGATCCCAAAACAGAGTTTCATCTACACAGCCCTTTAACAGGTACTGACAGCAAGCATTATTCAAATAAAGGGATATCTATCCCTATACAGAGGTTGTTTATCTTTTTCAAACACTGCCTTAGAGATCACCTAGACTCTATTTCTGTCTGCATTTTGGAAGTGGATAGGACAGGACTTCATATTTCTCTAGAACTTTGTGTCAAACACAAAGACGAGTTTCAGTTCCAAGTACAACAAGAGTTCCATGGAAAAAAAGGAAAATTAATTCTGTAACTGAAATTGAAATCTTGAAATCACATTAAGTAGTAACATAGCATGGAAAAAACTCAGGAAGAGCACAATGTAAAGATCACTGTGCAAGTTTTAGTTTTTTTGTCTTCCTTGGAAAGGTAAGTGCCGCGAGGAAGTGTCATCTTATGGATAGACACAACACTGAAGAGATTACTAGAATGCTAAGTGGAGGACCAAGAAGGGTCCCACAACGATTCCAGAGCTTTTATCGATAGTGACTAACTCCTAGAAAAGCCGGAAGACACTTGGATACAATTAAAGCTGAAATATTATCCACAGACAGGTCAGGCTAAGATGGTTGTTAGGATAGTGTTAAACAGACCTTAGAAAAATTAAGAGCTGCTTTAGCTCCAGTAAGCAACCTCTAATAGCAGTTACTCATATCTCAAATGAGGAGACCAACAGGATCCCATGGCCAACAATCCTGTCCATTTCACTAACTACCAAGTACACTGCACAGAACTTTCTGCTGTTGTTGAATACGTCTCTTGCAAAGGAGAAGGAAATGTTCTCTATCAAACCCAGCAAATTCACTGTGACAGAAAAATAAAACAACTTGAAAGAGGTATAGCTATTTGAAATTCTTCCAGCCCAAACAATTCATCATTCTTTCAGTTGTTCATGTTTGGTTTCTACTTTTCAGCTTTCAGAATGCCCATTTTCACAATACTTGGTGCTGGGGAAAAGCAAACTGAGTGGTCATCCCAGTATGTTCAAAGCTCTTAGCACAAAAAGTCCTATAATGACAGAAGAGCTAAAAACTGTTTCACTTAATAGTAGGGAAGACACGTACTAGATTACAGGTGGGCTGGAGAGGACAGCAATAAATGGGCTATTATCTCTTCAACTCTGCTAAATAAAATTGAACCATAGCCCTACAGTGATACTCCAAGTCTAGGTTTTATGCTTCATGAACCCCAAGGTGAGCTGCAGTAGGACAAAGTACCCTGGTGACTAAAGTTAGATAAGCTAAACATGAGAGCAGACAACACTAAAATCAGACCCTAGGATATGTCCCTAGATGCCAATATGATCTTGTATCAGATCTATCCTAGGCCTGAGAAAGAAGTGGCAGAGTCAAACAGGGCCACAGAGATCTCAGAAGGACACAGCAGCTTTCTTCAGAAAATGTTTGAGGTTTCCCCCCCCCCCCCTCTGTTCTGCCAGGTCCCAGAATTAAAATGCATAGTCAGAGATACACCCCTCATACCAATACACACATTCAGCACAGGAGTCAGAGGAAGGAAGCACCACAAGTCAGGCAATGCAACTGAGAAGTCCAAGTCAAAGATGGAAAGGGAAATAAAGCACAGGAGAGAAAAAAAAAGCATAACAGCCCTTGATGGTGACTAAGCAAAGATCATGCTGAGTGACTTCTAGAGCAAAGAAACCATACAGTTGGAACAAAGTATTCCATTTCCCCAGGGCAAACACTACTCTATACACTTACAAGGGAGACAGGCATACCTATGCACAAGGGGAGGAAGAGAGACTGTCTGCAGAAAGTACATTTGCACCAACAGTGTCAGTGTACATATGAACTACTTCTAACAGATAACATGACAGTAAACAACTAAAGAAAGCTTTAAAATTAAACTAAAATTCTTCTGCATTGTTCTCAGATGGAAGATGAGCAAAAGCTTTTTTCTCTTCCAAAAGGTACCATAGGACAAATGTGGGATAATTAGAAAAATAGACACATAGTGAACAAGAGACACAATGGGGCTGTTCAATCTGAGCCAGAGGCACCTGCAAGCAGCAGGCCTCAAGGACGCAGCGAAGGCTAACTGTTGCTACAAAGTTAGATGAAATAAGCACAAAAAGCTAAACAAGATGGGCCTACGTGACCGAAAGCAGGACACCAGGCAAGACAAAGACAGGAGGAATCATTCGCGTGATCAGAAGACCTTATCCAATCGATCTATTGCTTTAGGCGCGTGAGCAGCACATGTTAACCAATCAGTAGATGGCTTGCGCATGGCTATGGCATATAACCAAGTGTTACGTAGCAATTAAACGGAGAAATCGCTTGATCCACAGTATCTGTGTTGGTCCGTTTCTCCCCAGGGCGAGTCCCTGGCGATGCGTCGTTTCTCCTAGATTGTCGCGACAGGAAAGCGCGATAGACAAATACTGAAGGAAAATTACAGAAGTACACTTAAATCCCTGCTGCACTTATAAAAGGAATGTATTCCACATCTCTGACACATAGCCCGTAGTGAGGAATAACAAAACAGCATGCCCTGCTATGCCAAAAACTGACTGTTCTCATCTTAAAAGTTGGTGATTTATATCCTACATTTTCAATAGTGTATTACAGAAATAAAACAGCCCCTGGCAGAAGGAGAGAGCATTTTTTCTAAAAGAAAACCTGTCTTCTATCTCCCGCAGAAGAACATCTTAACCGCATACTTGCTCAAGATAAAGAAGTTGTCTGACAAAGAAACTTACCAATACTCCTCTTATGGAAGTGTTCAATCTAAATAGTTCTTTGCCACAGAAAGAACATACAGCATCCATTCCATTATCTTACAGCAAAGAACTCTTAAGAGCCAAACAGTGACGGCAACCACCCATTCCTTATGGTTTCTAACGAAGAAAGCAAGATGCAACAGTCCTGATGGATTTTGCTATTATAAATAAATAAATCAGTAACAACCCAACCAATCAGCACAGCTTGCTTTATCCTGTAGAATCTGTGAGGACAGTCTTAAGTGTTTAGGTTTGAGATTCTGCCTGGCAACTGAAAGAAATTTCCATTCAGTCCGTTCTTAGATAGCCTTTTCCAAGAACAAAAGTAAACAACATATTAAAAAAGAGATAAAAGAACCGAAAGATCATCAATCTGTTTATCTGGACATTTCTACTGGCATGCATTTACTTTCACTGTAAACCATTCTGAGCATATTCAACACACAGTATCAACACAGTGCAAGACCAGGCACATCTTGGTTAAAAACTTAACATTCATAATGACACTTACATAATCTACAAATGCAAGTAAAAATACATACGAGGACTCCGTATTTGTTGTTTTCTTATTGCTGGACCAATATTCAATTTCTTATCCTTATAATTAAGTTTTTTAGCCTAGAATTAAAGAAAGACGACATTATTTTCTACACATAACTAGGCATGCAAGAAACAAAAATCAGAACAGGTTTCACCCTCCCCTGCTTTTTATTTACAATACATCTCAAAAAAAACCCCAAAGCTATACTAATTCCTTTTCTGTCTTAATCCTAGACTTCACATAAACAAAATTAATCATAAGTAATTTCAAGTATTACTTACTCCTCATGGAGCCTCTTGACTAACAACTGATACCTATAATTGTCAGCACATTTTTTTAGTTTTACCTCTCATGTATTTACTGCTTTTATAAAAGCACACATGTATACAGACAACTTCAAGTACAAAAGATTAAGTTTATTTTTTTTCATGATCATGACATTATTTTACAGAAGACAACAGGAACAAGTCAATTTATGAAAATGGCCAGATTATAAGGACTGAATGTAAGAAATCCCCATATTCACTCGGGACTGCCTTAAGACTTCCTTACATCCAGGCTAACAAAACATTAAAGCACACTAAACCAGATAACCTAGTAAGGAAGAACTTTATTAAAAATAAAGTGCTAGGTACAGACAAGTGTAGCTACATTCTCTTCCAGTCATTTTGCTTACAAAAGAAAGTGAGCATCAAGTACATCAGGTAAATTAAACCTTGCCTTTGTTTTTTAAATTGACACTGAATTCCCTACTTGTTAATATAATGGAAAGGAATAAGGTAAATCAACCATTTTTTTAAGTTGTCAGCACCTCTAACACTGCTTTGCAAAATTGAAAAGGGTTCTGAAAGCCTGCTTCCTTGAACAGTTATGCAAGGAAGAACATGCACTAAACACTACTACACTACACCATGAAGTTTTCAGTTTGCAGAGCTGTAACTTCTCCAGTAAGGAGATAATTACTTCTTAAAGAGGAACAGAGAAAGAAATACAGTTCTAAATCACATTCAACAGGACAACAGTTAGGTATTCAATACATTTTCTTCATTTGAGCCCAACTGAGCAAAATACTTGACCGCCTGTACATAATGCAAAGTCCCACTTACAAGATTTAAAGTTAGGAACAGACTAAACTGTTTTGTGGAATCTGGGGAACAAGTATTAATTACGGCAAGCGTACCTACCTAGCCTATTAAACACAGAGCAACTCCTAGAAAACAGATGCACATTTCAGTGAAACTGCATTCCAACACAATAGGAAGATGATTCTTCCCAATGCAATGTATTTCATTGATATGATCCATCAGAATTTAGACTTTTTTTATACACAACTTTCAGAGCTAAGAAAAATATCTAATCTGTATGGAATTCTTCAAAGCATTTAATACAGCACCACATGAAAAATTACACACAATGCTACAGAAACTGAATACTAATAGGAAAAACCATGGTGAATAAAAAATTTACTTCAGAAAGACTGGAAGAGGTAGCATTAGCAGTAACAGCATATGACTGGAAAGAGGATCCTGGTGAAATTCCTCAAGGTCTGTTCTTGATACTAAAGCAATTTAATACTTTTGAAGACTGCAACACAGAAAAAGAAATTTCCGGAGACACTACTCATGATAGAAAAGTAGGGTGCAAAAAAAAAAATCAGTGCAAAGGATGATCAGAATATCATATAAATAAGAAGAAATTCAAGAGTACAAAATAAAAAAAAAACCACATTCATTTCATACATAAATTACTAAAGCCTAGAAACTCTCAGCTTAAGATGTCTGAGGAAGACCTAGATGCTAAGCCATCTTAAGATGAATACGAGATAGTAGTATGATGATGCAAAGATGAAACAGGTGATAGAATTGTAGGACATCTAAATTAGAGCACTCATAGCAGACAAAAGAGTATTAGTATCATTGAATGAGACACCAGTAAGCCTTCACACAGGCAGCCTTTCAGTTACAAGAAAGCCAAAAATCCTAAGTCATTTTCACAACGGTACTCAGTACCATTGGTGGTATTCTAGTTCACAGAAATAAAACAATAAAAAGAAACAGGGGAAGCAGAGTAGCTAACTCCAGAAGTTCCTGTGTGCATACTCCTTTGGCTCCACATAACTGTATTTTTTGAAAACACTCTGAAAATTTCTTTGAAGATGTCCTAGCTCTTACTTTGAATTTTAATACAGGAATTTCCAACAAAGGTTCAGTATTTCAACATTTTAACCAGCTTTATATTTGGGAGAAGGCAATTTGCAAGCCTTAGATACTATTTTCTGGGTTTTTTTTCCCCCCACACCTGGATACCTTCATGTGTATGAATAGATCCTGCCTGACATCTCTCTCCAATACATTCCAACCAGAACACGGAGCACACATTAAAAAACCCAAGAAAACAAACTGAAGAGCTAACTGTCTCAAGGGAGGTTCTACAAGGAGTGTCGAGACCATAATGTGGCTAAGAGAAGCAAAAATTACATGGAGTAAAATAAGCTTCATTGTTTAAGAATGAGTGAATCTAATTATTCCTGAAAAGAATTATGCTAGCTCTGACAATCAAACATGTCATAATAAAAGACAGCAGGTATCTTCCCAACTCCCCAAAAAATTTTGACAGCAGTGGATTTTCTAGTAAAGCAAATGAAAGCAATTGTGAAGGATAGAGTCTTTATAGCTCTATATGTACAATAGACCACATATAGACTAAGTAGAGACTGCATGTCCAAGTCAAGAGCTGTACTATGAACTGCCAACTCCCTTCCCTAGTTTCAGAAGATCTCAGTATAAGTCTTATCTTAGATCTCTCTAAACCATCTTCTTAACTACGCAGAGCAAACTTAACAGATCTTCAAATCCAAGTCGGCGAACAGAAGAGGACCAGGCAACCAGGACTACTTCGTGTCCAATATAAAATGATGCATTTCATTTAAGAGATAATCATAAAGGGGACTATCACTTACCTCTTGTAAAATCTTCTGTGCATCTTCTTGGGTTTCAAAGGTAATGAAGCCATACCTAAATAAAAATTACAGAAGCTAAGCCTCTGAAGTTCATATTTACATACATTGCACATTATTACTTGATATATAGTACAAGTGACATTAAAAGGTAAACTAATGGGAAAAAAACCAATCGTAGAAATAAAGACTGCAGTAACAACTGTAATCTTAATTTAACATCCTTGTTATAGTCTACTTACTAATATATTTAAGTACGTGGTAACATATTACTGTTTCTATGCAGTAAATGAGTAGCCAACGTAGAAAGCCATGCAAAACTCTGTTTTGTCCCTGTTACTCAGCATATGTCTTTAGTTCCTTTATTTCTATTAAACAAAGAGGTTTTAATCTGAACCTCTCACTCATTATGGGTACCCAAGATAAGATGATATTTTTTATTGTACTGTACTTCATAGCACAGCTCCCACCTACTTCAGCGACAACTGTGAATGCTCCACACTTCCACAGGCACTATCCACTATATTGAGTTCTCAGAAAAAGCAGCAATACAGAGATAGTCTTTGTCTGTGAATTATTCTTGTCATTCTTGACATGACTAGCATTAAACAAGAGTTCTGTGGTGATCAAGGATGAAGTATTTTCATACTTCATGACACAGTTTGTCTTTCACCATACCTCCTCCAACAGCTGCAACAAATCAAACAGGCTTTCTACACAGAACTCCCGCTGTACCAAAACCCCTCAATTCATTCCCAGAGAAATCTAGGCCACTGAATGTGGCACTGCCTGTGCAAAGCTAAGTATCTGATCTTATAATTAAAGCCTGTACCACAACACATATGTACAAAAAATTTTTTTTTCCAAAATGAACTTCAACAAATCTTTTTTTGAAATCTCTCAGTCATTCTGTATGCATAATTTGTTAGATTCACGGCTCATTTCTCAGAGTCAGATTTCAGAAGATACCAAGGCAGCCTCTATCATTCCAGCCAGCAGACTGAATTTTGCAATACAACATATCGTTCTTTGTGAGTGTTTCCATGCTTATTTGAGTACAGAGGTCCAGTAAGTCTCTGACCAGCTCTACTTCTGAATCTGTGGGCTTTTCCTGTGTTGCCTTCTCTAAACAAATTTGGAAACATTTCCAAGTTCAAAAGGACACAGGAACTATTTTCCTAGCTTGGGACCTTACCTACACAGACTTTTCATTCTATGTGCTATCTGGACAATAAATTAATAGACATTAACAAACTTGTCACACAATCACACAAACTTGTAAGTGTCTTAAATCACTTGTCAATGAGAAGCAATGAAGCCTGTGCTTGGATTTCAGTAGAAATTCCAACACCATTGAAAGTAATTATTTTCCAACATATTTAGTGTGAGACATATGTTGGCAATCACAACTGCATAATAACTGGATATTCATGGCTTATTGTATTAGATGGACACATGTACTGCAAGCGTCAGATATTTCTTCGAATTTAGTGAAAGGGTAAGAGGCTTGGTGACAGATCCGGGACCAAGTCCAACATGCCATGCAGGTGTATACTCTATGCTAACACCTGCAGCTCAGTATGTAATTTGCTGATATATGTTAAGCGCTGACAGCATTAAAATTATGAGATTCGGACACAACAGGCTTACTGCTCAGAAGAGAACTTCTGACCAAAGTAAACTTTACAGGTACAAGTTCTCATGCACACTCCTTTTTGCTTCAGCCCTCTTTCCACCCTTCTGTGGCAGTACAGTTCCCATCCTTATTTCCTTCACCATTCTTTGGGTTCTAGCAATAACTTTACTACCCAGTCTTAATCTTTGTCCATATTTGCTCTTCGGCATCTCTCTTATTGTTGAGTTCTGGTGTTTGTCCCCTTTTCTGCAATCATGACTCATTGTCAGATTTGTCCCTTATGTTATTGTTCCAAAAATCTTCACACAAAATCTCAGTTGTTGCCATGTACTCCAGTACAATCAGGTGTACCTCACCTCTTCCTCCATCCTCAGGCTCCTTTCCACACTGGCTTTCAGTAGTAGAAATATGTATGTTTAATAACTAAACTACCTTTTTAGGATTATCTACATAAATTATTATTGCCATAAAAAACCCGAAAGGACTATTGATTTTGTCCTGGTTGCACACAGCTTCATCTTATAACAACATGACTATAGAGTTTTACAGTTACGTGAATTACAAAGACATATACATGTAGATGTTAAAGGGCAAGAAAGATTTGTGCATACATGGAATAACTGGGAACATCAATGACATAAAATTAATAATATTCCGAGCTACAAAAGTCACAATCAAATTTACTATAGTCAGTCAGCTTTGTTATATTTTCAATTCCCGCAACACGCTTATTCTACTATACCAACCCCTTTGATACTCCAGCTCTGTCATTTACTATCTTCACTTCTTTCACACTGCCATACTGAGCAAAAAACTTCCTCAGATCATTTTCATTAGTCTAGTACAGTAAATGAAGAGGGGGGAGGAAAGAAGAAACATTGGTTTGTATAGTTATTCAATGAATATTTACCATAAGACTTTTAATGGATATACTTTGCATAAAGTTTGCTAAAAACTAATTAGAACTCTGGACAGGAAGAGAGAAGAATGAGCATGTAAGAGCCTCACAGCTCCTGTTTAATTACTGCATTTTCATATTCAGCCATAATGCTAGAAAGCCACTAAAATATTACAACTCCTTTTTTAGTGGATTTATGTAACAACTGTCCTTTTACAGGTAAAACCATTGAAGCAGGTTTACTAGATCTGAATTTTAGTTTCTTTAAATTACACACTAGAGCACTGTTTACAGTATGAAACATCACTGTAATGCTTTCAAACTTCAAAACAGAAGAGTATGTAAGCTTCCATAAAGGATATGCATAGGTCACATGAAAAAAATACACACTAAACCACAGTGACTTAATGGTCAAATGCATCTAATATACCACAATCCCTCTTTCTAAAGTATATTTAATATAAGACTCTGCAAATACGTATAGGCACACCACAGGAACTCCCCATTATAAATCAAGTAGGAAAAGGTCTTTTTAATGGTGAATGGTCTAAATCCACATGGAAGAAACTGAGCATGCATGGAGTAAGACAAGTTCCTAATGTAAAGGCACATCTAAGCTATGTGGACACTCATCTACCTTCTATAAATCAGTTTTCTTTTACAATGTAAGCATGTATCAAATATGGTGCCCTAAAAACCACGTTTGATATTTTAAAGTTTTGTTCTACATGGTCCTTAGTTAAAACTATACCTAACTCTGTAAGAAGTATGCTTATATACATGGATGTCTATGCACTTCAAGCCATTTCCATATTCATCTATACCTTTCATTATCTTAAGGAAGTGTATCAGAAGTACTATTTTACTTCTAAGTGAATGACTTTTGTTATTTTCAACTGTATGTATACAATTTAGTAAATCCTCTTCTGCACATCAAAGATTTATCTGCCTCATCCAAGTTTGAAAAGCAAAAACTTAAAAGAAACAAAAACTAACTTAACTTAATATTATTTGCAGTTATGGAAGTTGTTTAACACTCTTTTTGAATAATTCTACCCTCAAGACACATTTTACAGAAAGAAATAATGCAGCCTGCTTGCTACAACCTCTATGTCCAGCAGAGAGCAATAATGGTAGAAGATGGCTTTATCGCCCTCACTAATCCAAGTATTCAGGCATTAAAACATTAGAAAATACTCAGTCACTCTGGAAGTGTGAGAAGTAACAACAGATACAAGTGCACTGAAGAGGCATGAAACACTTCAGTGTTTTATTAAAGTTCAGTAGTTATGTCTTCTCCTTGGAAGTTGCCTGCACTGGTTCTTGAGAAACTACCCACCACGAACAGGTTAAGAAAATTCTGGAGTCCAAAACCACTCTCTTGAATAGATGATCATGCTTTGCACCTAAACAGAAGTGTGAAAGCCTGTGTACATAGGAAAACAGATTCAGCCAAACAACTGATAGCTTGTATAAAAGTATCAAAAAGCATGTACAAAGTACAAAAGAGTCAGAGTGGAGATCTTCCTTTCCCTCAAAATTTTCTCCAATGAACACCAAAATGTATCTGCTTAGAAATGAAAGGCCTATAGATAAAATTTCCCATTTCAGGGCAATTATTTCTTTTAAGCTCCATATGTTATATGTAGCTCAGCTGCTTCACAAAGCTGAGAAAAAGAACCTATGACAGAATAGTTAAGGCTAAAATACACCAAGAAAAAACTGAAAAGCCCTTAAGACTAATCAGTGCTGAAAAGCGTCATTCAATACCTCAAGGACATGAGGGATGGCTACAAAAGACTAAAAACTTCAAAAGTCAAAGTTTACCTGCACAGCAGTGTATTAAAAGGGAACAAGAAGGAAACACTGTTTTAAGATTGACAGTGAAATTTGCAAGTATCTGGACAAACACGGTATTCAGGACTTGCCTTTTCCTGCTCATGACAAAGGCACATGTCAGGTTCTTAAGAAAGGCTAATGTTGAGCCTTCACCTATGGCAAAGATACATGGCATACACCACTGAAGAAAGAGTGCTTCAGACCAAGATGAAAACGTACCCAACTGTAACTTCTCTTACCGAATTGTTTCTCTAAATTTAAGAGGCCAGATGTTTCCTCTTACAAATAGGAATCACTGCTATGGTGACAGACCAAATGGAAGTGCCCGGCAAAATGATAAAAGAGCTTGCTGGAAAGCAAACAAATTTTTGTTGATTAAGTGTCTCCCTTTTTCAACAAAATAAATAAATAGCTTTTTTACCACCCCTCAGCTGACGTGAATAAGACCTTTGGGGTAAAAAACTAACAAAAAACAATGCTTTTTTTCCATAAGATTACCAATAGAAAACAATCTAAGACTGGCATATATATCCCATGATTTGAACAGAAATTTAAGACTACTTGAAATCAAGAGTCATAGTAAATGGAAGAGTAGCTAAAATGTCTACAGAGGTTTCATCCTTTCTATTTCCTCTCCCAAGGAAATCCATCTTCTTTATGCTTACACACTTAATTCCCTGGGTGTTGAAATTAAGATTCATAATAGACTGATGTATCAGCAACTGAACCAAGTCAAGAGACCCTTCAAAATGAACATTAAATATGATAATTAAGAATATTGATATGGTACATAGAAAAGTGTTTTAACCTTTGAAATTGCAGTGAAGAAAGAACAGAGGAGACAGGTCTTTTTACAGCTCTAGCAATTTGCTTACTATTAATGCAAAAAGCTACTGTGCCTCTTTGCTAAAGCCCAAATAACTCAAGAGATGTTGTACAAGGTCTTCAGTATATCTCAGCTAAATGAGCCAGAAGATCCTGGAATTTCTTGTATTTATTATGCAAAATAGCCTGAGTGAATTGTCTTTCCTCCCCCTCTTCATCTGAGTCAATGCTCAAAAAGTCCTCAGCCTAGGAGAATTACAGCAGAGAAGATACTCTTGGTGGGAACAAAGAAACAGCTAAGCAGACCAAGAATGTTTTGCAAAAGTCAATGACTTAACTTATTATCTGAAGTGGTGAGAAGGAAAAAAAAAAAAGAAAAAAAGAAAAAAAAGGGTTGCTGGTATAAAGGTCTGGTGCATATCTTGTCACAGATGTTGAAAGTGACTGAACAATGTAAGAATGGCTCAATATTCACTGCTATTTGAGGTTTTTAGAGCATATGCAAAGGCACAAGCATTCTAAGAATTAAGATCAGTACTGCAAATTGCCCAGAGAAGCTTTAATATTTGTTTTAAAACAAACACTTGCTTTTAAGAAAATTACTATGGTAAGTGAAGAATACATGCACTGTAGCTCCTTCTTTCTATGAACTAGAAGAAAAGTGCTACAGGAACTGAAGTTACTGACATTTGCTCTGTTTGCAATCTATAATATTGTGTTTACAGCTTATTAAATTACACTAAGTATTATACATAATAAAAAAACTTCTACATACTTTTCTACCATAAACTCTGCTGATGACAAAAGCCATCTTCTTCAAAAAGAGAAGATTCTGAAGAACTAGTACATCAAAAGCTTCTAGCAGCTAGTTATACAAAGAGTCAAGTTTGTAGTACAGTTAAGTAAATCAAGGCTTAAAGCTTTATTCTCTTATGTTGATTTGAACATTTCAGTGAAGGGCACTTACCACCTAAACACACACACATACGATTACGTCTCACATTTTCCCCTATTGATTTTTATAGGGTTATAAATTATCATTTAGTAGTAAAAATAGAAAAAAATACCTTAAAATCAATTCCTCCTACAAAGACACGATTTGGAGTAACCGTTCCAAACCTTGGAGCACTGGTCAGATTATTTAATGGCACCGGTGACACAGTGTTGGGACTTGAAGATAAAGATTCTGCTTGCGTCTGATTTGTGGTCTGCTGATTAAAAGAAAATATTTTCAAATATTTTCAAAATCCTGCATGTTATAAACTATTAAATAAAAAAATTCTCAACAGAAAATACTAAAAGAATTTTTTGGGAGGCACAGCAAATGCTGAACAACTGAACATTAACCACATTTTTATTCAGAAAGCAGCTCAGCAAAGTATTTAAACATAAGCTTAGTTTTAAGCAATTCAGTAACTTAGTATATACACTATGGTCTGAAGCCTGACTTTTAACACCTTTCTGAATCAGACATTTAGGGCCTAATCCCTCAATCTTAGTTTTTCTGTTTCCACAACACCGTGCTGTATGAATCCCAAGTTATGAATTCTATTTCAGATTAATTTACACCTATTAGAACCCCCTTAGTTTAAGCCTATATAGAAAGGACCTTTTCAACTCAACCTGTGCTCTCACACACACCTACAAAACTCTGCTCTCTGCAGCAGCTTCTGCTTGATTTTCCAAGAGCCAAGCACCCATAATTCCACCACATAAAATCAGCAAGCTCATTACAACTGATGAGAACAGCACTTGAAGACTAGTCTTTTAATTCAACACTCTTGGCTTACAAACACAGTGATCCAAACAGAAATTCTCTCTGCAGAAGCAGCAGCAGATTGCTCTTGCCCCAATAAAGGAAAGGAATGCAGTATGGTAGGAACTTCATGGAAACCGTTATTTAGTGAAGTCTGCCTGATATTTTAATTTCCACTATGCTTACACCTGTGAATTGTGGAACAATACAGACTTGCATTTCATTGGAAACCCTTTTCAGAACAAACTAATACTTCCTTACATAGTCAACCCTAACTGTGAGATGATAGCTGTAAAGCAGCCGCATAGTACTGTCACTAACTTCTCTAACAGGAATTGCAGTAGAGGCTTCAAAGACCATTTTTGCTGTGGGTTGTGGGGTTCCCCTCCCCCCAACTAAAGTTTACTAAAAACCAATCCTGGGCTATAGTGCCCTGACAGAGCCACTAGGAAG